ATACACAAGTCGACATGCATATATTTATATATGTTGCTTAACTCTATAATATTGATTAACTTACAGTTATATAAATATGCCAATGAAAATCTTAAAACTGTTCAATGTTTAAAATTTACTTTTTTTTAAATGTTAAAAAACTGATTAAAAATCGAGAAACACCAGATATTCCTGCCCTTAAGCATTTTGAAGGCCGGCGTATATCACAAGTTCAAATTTACATTTGAAAAATAAAAATGTTTGGAAAAATAACTTACCAAAAGCGCCCAAACGGTAATTAAACGTGACTACAACTACATTGTTAGCTACGAGATAATCAGGTCCATACAAATCTGAAGAGCTGGTACCTCGCATAAATCCTCCACCAAATATGTAAACCATGACCGGGCACAGCCTCGTGGAAGGTTTTATCTGATCAAAAATCAGTTTATCGAATATATAATTATAATTATTAAAACTTAAGTTATTAATTATTAAAACTTAAGTTTTACAAGTATACGTACTTCTTTGGTATAAATATTCAAAGTTAGGCAATCTTCCGAGCCCACATAACGTTTACTTAAGGTCTCCTGTTGGGAGCATGGCAATGCAGGCACACATTGCAAATTTTTGGTTGGGGATACTAATTCGACTGGATCCTAGAAGAAAAATTCAAAAACATTATTATATATATTATATAATTCGCTTTACACGGTTTTTGAAAATGTATTTTTAACGAAATGTATTAATTTAGCATTATCGCATGATCCATATTTTTTTAACGGAATGTATTAATTTAGCATTATTACGTGAAATTTTAAACCTTAAATTATTAACTATATCTATAATAGCATTTTCATTGTTTTATTGTCATTTTTTTTAAATTTTCATTCTGCAATCTTTAAAAATAATTACATTTAGCAGAGAATAAAAAAAACTAACTGCAAAATACGAATTCTTACTAGCTTATAATAGTCTACGCTATGATGGAAATAGGTAGACTCCCCGTTTCATGACCAAAACTAAATTTTATGTGCGTATAAGAAAGTTTGTTTAAAGTACCAAAAAAGAGCAGTACTCTTTTTAAACTTTGTTTCTAATTAGTATTTATATAAATGATTGCGTAAATTTATTTAAGGTGATCGAATAACAGTATTATTTTTTATTGAAATAAATTTATTAAAAGTGCACATGTTTCATAATATATATACATTGATATTTATTTTTGCCTTCTCGTAGGGTAAGTTAGTAATCGCAAAAAAGTTGAAAATGAAAATTTTTATATATCTTTACATTTTGGCATACCTTTAAAAAATGAATGTATTTGTGTGTGTGTGTGTGTTTGGATACAAATTTTCGTCGACTATTTCGTGAACACTGATCAACCGATTTGAATCATTCAAAAAACATTCGATTCGCATTGACGACGAGAAGTGCTGATTAGTTTTGGCAGGGGCAGCTCCAGCCGTTTTGAAGATACGGGACAAAAAGTGCTAAAAATGGTAATACAGTTTTTGAGATAACGGAGCGTCCGATTTGAATGATTCGAAAAATATTTTATTTGTATTGACAAAATGAAAAACCGTTAAAATTTTTGAGAAGATGGGCATAGCGGTCTCGGAGATCTAATAAGTAAAAAAAAAAGTAAAACAAAATTCATTTGGCGGTCAATGATATTTACATATGCACATTAAATTATCAGTTATTTTATGAAAATTTTAATAATAGGAACTAATTTTATTTACATTTCTTTGGGTTCTGTACCAATGTTTATCCGTTAAGGTGCGCCCTAACCTGGCGCACCTTATTATGTGATATTGCTATAGGTGCGTCCACACCTAACGAACGAACACCTAACGAAAAGAACGTACCAGAACGAACGGCAACAGCATAGTGTGGACGCCACAACGATCACGAACGAACATAAACAAACATGGCGAGCAATGTTCCGCAACTTGTCGGTACATCAAAGGGAATTGTTCGTTCATGTTTGAACTCGTATGTGCAGTGTGGACGCTACCACGAATGTAGAAAAACATTTTTCTTTTTTGATGTTAAAATGTGCAGTCCTGCATTAGTTTATGTTGTGTTTATTACAAGATATTGCTGTTATTGACAAATTTTGTAAATATGATGACTTTAAATAATTTTGCTCTTTCCCGCCACTTTAAATAAAAAATCTGACATTTCACGGTACATCCTCGAACAAAAAGATTCAAGCCCTCACTGCTTTGAGGCGTTTGTTTGGAATTTTTCGCGTTCGTTCGTGTTCCTGTTCGTTCTTCTTTGTATTTTCTTGTTCGACATGTTCGTTCGTGTTTGTTCGTTAGGTGTGGACGCACCTCAAGGTTTTCAACTTGTCGGTATATCAAAGAAAATTGTTCGTTCATGTTTGTATTCGTATGTGGTTCGTTCTGGTACGTTCATTTGTGTTCGTTCGTTAGGTGTGGACGCGCACCTTATTATGTGATATTGCTATTGTTGATAAATTTTGTAAATTTGATCACTTGAAATAATTTTTCCCTTTCCGTCCACTTTAACTAATAAAACTGATGTTTCACGGAACATTCTCGAACAAAGAAGATTCAAGCCCTCACTGCTTTAAAGCTCGAGTTCGTTTGGAATGATTCGTCTTCAGGTGCGTCCACACCTAACGAACGAACACGAACGAACATGTCGAACAAGAAAATACAAAGAAGAACGAACAGGAACACGAACGAACGCGAAAAATTCCAAACGAACAGGAACACGAACGAACGCGAAAAATTCCAAACGAACTTAAACAAGCGCTTAAGGGGGGCGATACATGTAATCGCCTTAATTTTAACCATTTTTTGAGGACTTTTTAAACTAGGAAGGAATGACTGAATCTTTTTGAACTTTTTTAGGGTTATTTATTATATATTAAAATACACAAAAAAAATTTTTATTTAATTTTTTTTTTTAAATGGCTGCCGTAAAAATAAATCTGCCAAGACCCTTTCGGAAAACGCCATCAATTTGCGGGCGTTCTCACTTTTCGTACGGTGATTTGAAATCAAAAAAATTAGTTTGTACGTGTTCATAAAACATATCTTCTAGTTAAACCAAAAAAAAATTAAAAAAGTCACAAAATCGTAAATTGGCACACCTCAGAAAAAAAAGTTCGATTTTTCACCTTTTTTTCAATGGTTTTTTTTGGTAAAAGGGTTAATTTTTGAAATTTTTTTTGGAATGTTTGAGGTTTAACTAGAAGCTATTACTGTAAAGTAGATGTGTGCAAAATTTCATTGGAATCGGTTGAGAACTTTTTGAGTTATCCCGCCCGCAAATTTCAAAAATGTCGTTTTGAGAAAAACGCGTTTAAAGTTTTGACACAGAAACAGATAAGAGTACAATAGCACTCAAGCGTCGAGTTGAGGCGTGGCACTTAAATGAGTTTTTTTTGTATAAATAATGATAATTTTGTTTTGAATATTTACAGGCATATTTTTGAGATGTTATTGTAACGATTTATGAAAGAAAAAAAAAATCGATTTTTTTTTTCTAGTTACATGTATCGCCCCCCTTAAGAGCAGTGAGCGCTTGAATTTTCGTTGTTCGTAGACGTTCCGTGAAACGTCAGTTTTATTATTGATATGGATGTAAGCTTTAATCATACGGCATTTTCACTTGTTTTTGTGTGATTTTTATTCGTGTATATTTTGTAAATATACCGTAAATAAATTATTCAATTAATTTCACTCAGTTTTTGTATTTAATATTTATATTTTGAGTCGTTTTCTTTCCTCAGCATTCATATTCGGAGCAAGCTGAACATTCCAGGCTTGAGCCTAACTATACTCAATTTTCAAACTCTCATCCTCAACATATATGTTGAATGTCTATGTATGATAACAAGTTTAATATTTACTTGTAAAGACTGCAATTTCTTCTTTACTGCAGCTTCTGACATCCCAAACGTTCTGCCTACACTTTCCCAAGCATCGTTTTATTTTTCTAATAATTTTATAAAAAGGGTCTTTAGTCTCCCATATTATAGGAAAAAAAATATTATTAAATTATTAAAATTATTAAAACAAAAATGTTCGTTTGCGTTCGTTGAGACGTCCACACTGCAAATACGAGTACCAACACAAACGAACAATTCCCTTTGATGTACCGACAAGTTGCGGAACATTGCTCGCCATGTTTGTTTATGTTCGTTCGTGACGTCGTGGCGTCCACACTATGCTGTTGCCGTTCGTTCTGGCACGTTCGTTAATGTTCGTTCGTGTTCGTTCGTTAGGTGTGGATGCACCTTTCGTTCGTGTTCGTGTTCGTTTTTCTTTGTATTTTCTTGTTCGTCATGTTCGTTCGTGCTCGTTCGTTATAGCCCGCTCCACTGCACGAACGCGCACGGTGAATCCTGTTTTTGACATGCGCGAGGTTTGCTTTTGCTCGCAATAATTTAGTCTGCGCACATTGCGAACAGATTCGCCGATTCGCCGTACAGATTCGTGCAATGGTGCGGGCCATAATGACGGTGAAGGATGGGTGAAGGCACCTTTAGATCCGACGCGCGCTAAGTTCAAAATTTCCAGAATATTTCAAAAGATAATAGAAAATTCCAGAAAGTCAAATGCTTTTAAAAATTTCAAAATTCTCTAAAATTTAATTTTTTCAAAGTTTGAAAATCATTTTCAATCTTTTTTAAGATTTAAATTTTCGGTATAAGGCACAATGCCATGCGCCACTAGTTCGTTCAATGTATTTGTTATTCATTATATTGAAAATTGAAAGAATGTATTTTTCATTTTTTATACCGTGCTAAGCGGGGGATATGTGTAATATATATGCAAAATTCCATAATTACCTGAAACCGCAAACTTCCAACAGGAGTTTCTGCATATCTTATTCCTTTGAAACTATAATAATCAACACCGGTGCAGCTAACAGTTAATTGCCCTTGCACGGTTCCGTTCGCAGTGTCAACAAACATATTCATAACTTTTTTTATTTTCATCACTTTATTAATTAGCAACTGTGTAATCCACACCACACATTTTTTGAGTCATTGGCAGTAAAATTTAAACCGATATGATAATACAAAATTTATTCATATGGGAATTGAACTCAGTTGAACCTTGACATTAATTGAGATTACAATTAATGGTGCATTGAAAATCAGTTCACCAATATTAACACAAACTGAAAATAACCACAATGTAACATGAAATACAGTTTTTAGAAGTAAATAAATAGCAATTGATGAATGCATTATTGAATTCAGAATAAAAATAAACGTTTACACTTCATTTTTATTCAAAATTAATAATTTCACCAGAATAGAATATATGACTTCTAAATTTTGCATTAAATAATTCCTCACCTCAGTCTCAGATTTAAGGTTATATAAATATAACCTATAAAACGGAGTGGTTGTCAATTTAACTTGCATCATAAGTTTGGCTCATCTATGAAGTCAATGAAAAAATAAACAATCATGGCTAGTAGTAGACTAGAAAAAATTGGAACTATATTTAGCAGGTAACACCCATAAATAATAAATTAAAATATCCATCAATTATGTTTCGATCGTGAAATAATTGAATTTTAGAGTTGACGGTTTAATCAAAGCTAATGGCATGAAATGGAAAGAACGCCCGCTATGGTACGATATTTATAAAGCCTTTCCACCTGCACTTGAACCTAAATATGCACGTCCAGTTCCAAATCTTCCAATCCGTAATATATTCTATGAAGAAGATGTAATCAGAGCGTAAGTAAATACATATTTCAATCAGTACATTATAATTATTTTAAATTTTATTTGGCTCTGATTTAGGAAATTCCATAAAGGCAATAAACAATTACCTGGCTACAATTTATCAGATAGTTCACATAAAACAACTACACAAAAGTTTATAGTGATATTCAATCAATTAAAGAGCGACAATAAAACTCTTGATGATGACCAACTATTTAACACGGCTTTAGATTTGTTAGAGTCCGAGGTGGTTTCCAGAAAAGAAGCCACAACCAGGCCATTAGAGACTGTTGCAAAATCAGAATCAAAGTCTGAAGATATGAATGTTAATATAAAAGATTTATTTAAATAAAATGATGTATAGATATTAAAAATAAATAGTCAAGATTAATGCTAGTGTATTAACATACATGCTTTTATTATTATTATTTTATAAACTACAAAAACTTTATAAGTTATAATGTAATAATATCACAGTGAACAAAGGTTTACAATTACATTGCTATTAAGTCTATGAATAGAAAATCACATTAAACATGCGAATCAAACACATTCTACTAATTCACATGCAATAACTTAATTAAAGCAATATTTCATTGATATTGATTAACATTAATAGAAAATAATTATAAAAAGTACAAAGAGTCATCCAATTTACTATTTGGTGCCCTGTGCAAGCTTTGTCCAACCAAGTAAGCTAATTTATGTGCATATTGGCAGGGCGCTGGCACACGGCAAGTACCTGACCAATTATAGTACATATGGGTGAGCTTGTATGAAAGTCTTTGGATCTTATCGGGATCAAGCCCTAGTGTGTCATAAATGACATTGTAAGATGTTGGAGAAACAGTACCTTGGCGTACTGTTTGACTGACTAGGAAGAAATCGTACCTGAAAATAATGAGGTTGCCATTATTATTGAAATGATTTTTTTTGTCATGATTATGATAATATTGATTTCAATTTACAAGAACCAAGATTTATAATTGTGTTTTTAATAAATATGTAGTTATGTCATTTTATACATCATTAAAATAATTGTTTATAATAAGATTTTTTTTAATAAGTACTTATTTTAATTAAATAAATATATCAGTGGTATTCATGCATGTCATTATAAAATAGCAAAAGGTTTTGTAACGTGCCACAAAATCATATTATACTCTATTTTTATATCTATTCTATTCTATTACATTTCTAACGGTGATTCATTATTCCCTTCTTCATGAAAAAATGGCTTAAACTCTAAATGGTAATAAAATCTAAATGTTCTCAAATTACTTGCATCAATTCACAAACTTATCTGAAAACTTTACATGGCAACCACAAGTCGTTATTTTAGTTAATATTGTAAAATATTTATTGTTAGCAGTCTTTTCTTATTATTTATAAAGAAAAACAGATTACAGAAAAAATTAATATATAAAAGCAAAACAAGTGTTTCTACATAATGTCTTAAAAATACCTTACGTGGATGAAGTAATTAATAACCAGAGCGATACCCTTATAGAAAATTGAAGATCGTCCAAATGAGTTACTAAGACCAGTTTTCAATGTACCAGCAATAATAAGACAAAAAAAGTTAGCCTTAATTAGAAAATTACTCAGTGTAGATTTCTGAACAGTTTTAGCTCTATTTGAATCTTATTATACATTGCTATTAACATCAATAAAAAGAACTATTGGAGTGCATGGCATCAAATCCAAATGAGAGCCCATAGCCGCTAGACCTGCCTCCCAAAAATTTAATCAGTTTTTCATCTTGTCAATAGAAGTAAAATGTTTTTAAATTATTAAAATCGGACGCCCCGTTCTCATTTGTTTAAACCATATAAATAAAATTCAAAATTAAAAATCTTGGTACGTAACCCAATAAAATATACACAAAATCTGTACACATTATGAAAATCTCTATAAAATATCTGACAATTTGATGTGCATGTGTCTAATGATCATTTTTGACCGCCAAAACGCATTTTTTTAACTTATTTTTATTGAGAGTCCATGACCGTTAGACCTGCCTTCCCAAAAAGTTGATCAGTTTTTTATTTTGTCAATACAAGTAAAATGTTTTTTGAATTATTAAAATCGGGCGCTCCGTTCTCTTAAAAACTGAGTTACCGTTTTTGGTACTTTTGCCCCATATCTTGGGAACAGCTAAACCTTCCTTCGCCAAAAAACTAATCAGCACGTCTCTTTATCAATACGAATCGAATGTTTTTTTAATTATTCAAATCAGATGGTCCATGTTCCCGAAATCGTCAACGAAAATTTGTATCCACACACACACACACATCCATCCATTTTTTCTAAGGTTTGCCAAAATGTTCAAAAACCTTAGAAACGTAAAGATATATAAAAATGTTCATTTTCGATTTTTTTGCGATTACTTAACTTGCCCTGCAGAAAGTTAAAAATTGCAACTGATATTTACCTCTCTGGCAGTGTGATAACATCATCAACGACTGTTCCAGGTACTGGATTTTTTCTGTCAACTGAGAAAATTCTGGTATTGATACGCTTGCTCACAATTATGTATGCTAGTCGTACTGGTAAATTCCCATATTGTTCCTCAAGAAGATTAAGTACCAGCCTCACTTCTTGATTATGAACATAAGGAATTTGTCCATCGCCTACACCATCACGATAGAATACAATTCTTTGAGGCAACATTCCACCATTGGCTTGTTTATATTTAAGAAGAGCTTCTGCAAAATAAGATAATTGTATGTAGTTACTAAAATTTATTATTAAATTATAATTGTATTATATTGAATTATAAATTATTTATAATTATATCATAATAAATTATAAATTATTTATTATTATATAATAATTAATTATAATAATAAAATTATATTATAATTAATTATAATAATAATTAAACCACCATCATTTAGCTTTTTACACCCAGTAAAAATATTATTAAAAATAATAAATAAAAAATATCTTACTAGATATATTGACTACAAGATCATTAGCCAATTCTTCCCCACGAGCATGATGACTCACAGCTGAAAAGTATCGTGTTAAGCATCTATCTACAGATGCCACCAAAGCGCCATATGAAAGGGCTTTATTGGAGGAGTCATGGCATACATCAAAGCCAATGACCATAAGACCCTGTAATAAAATACATGATTATTATTATATTAAATACTTAAAATGTAATTTGCTACAATTCTATAAACCTATCTCATTAGAAATAAATATATGTTTAGAAAACAATAGCATGAAGAGTTTTCATGACTAATAAAATATCATAACAATAACATTTTAACCAAAAATCAAAACACTTAGAATATTTGTTGAAAATAAAATGAAAATTTTAAATTACTACTTAATTAAATTAAATAACCAAGAAGTCTTATTTCTTGAAATCTTAGAGCAATTGTGTTATTATTTTTGACTGTGGTCCTAGAAATGTTATTCATGATTACGGTTCTATCAAATGAACAAAAGTAATAACTAGCTGTAAGTGAAATTCTGTCTTAAGGCAATTAAAGCATCGCGCCTTAAGGCAAATTGCGGGAACTTCCCGTACCAAAAATTAATATTTTTTTAAAAACAATTAACATTTTTGAAAAAAATTTTACTTCGAAAAAATAAGATTTTTGAGAAACTATAAATTGGACAAAAATTACTTTTTTTTGAAAAAAAAAAAATTAATTTTTTTTTTTTTAAATTTTTTTTTGAAAAAAATTTTTTTCCTTTATTTTGACATATTTTGGAAGATCTAAACTTTTTTCAAAGCAATCGTACTGCTTTAACTTCATAAAGACAAACTATCAAAGTGCGTAAGCGCCGCGCCGCTGTCTAACGCATAAGCATTGGTACGGAACCCATAGAAAAGTAAAAAAAAAATTATACCTATTGTTAAAATCTCTATAAAATATCTGATAATTTGATGTGCATATGTCTAATGATCATTTTTGACCGCCAAATGGCATTTTTTTTTACTTTTTTCATTAGATATCCGAAACCGCTAGACCTGCCTCGATGAAAATTTGATCGGTACTTCACCTTGTCAATACAAGTAAAATGTTTTTGAATTATTAAAATCGGACGCTCCGTTTTCTTAAAAACTGAGTTACCGTTTTTGGCACACTTTTTGCCCCGTATCTTCGGAACGGCTAGACCTGCCTTCGCCAAAAACTAATCAGCACGTCTCCTTATCAATACGAATCGAATGTTCTTTGAATTATTCAAATCGGTTAATCGGTGTTCTCGAAATCGTCGACGAAAATTTGTATCCGCACATACATACACACACATACATACATACATACATGCACACACACACACACATACATCCATTTTTTCAAAAGTATGCCAAAATATTCAGAAACCTTTGAAACGTCGAGAAATGCAAAAATTTTCATTTTCGATTTTTTTGCGATTACTATAACTTTCCCTACGGGAAGTTAAAAATTAACCACAATTTCATCAAAGCTCTAAGAGTGCACTTAAAAGCCCATAATTTCCAAGTTACGTGATATAATTTTTTTTTCCGATTTCTAGACATATACTCACAGACGTCTGCAAACAATGCAACACAGAAAAAAATCCCCAAAACCACTTTTTTTAAATAGTACATTATATACTTACTGTTATGGGGATTTCCACAGACCAAGGAGCCCCGCCCATTTGCAATTCATCTGAATAGAACTTTTGTAGCTATAGACATA